GACGGAGTGAGCGCCCGTCGCTTGTCCCAGCTCCTGCCAACCTAGCGGTTCGAAAGCATGCAAATGCGAGTAGATAAATAGGGACCACTTCGGTGGGAAGGTAACAGCGTTCCGTGTCTAAGTCGCACTGGCCATGTGACCACGGAAGATTGTCTTCGGACAAAAAAGCTGGCTCTATGGCTTGGAAACGGGGATGAGCACCGCCCCCTAGAGTCGAACACGACTAGACAAAAATTGTCAAGGGGAGCCTTTACCTTTACCTTACCTTCTTAGCAAGGTTACCCCCAGCCTCAAGAGCAACAGCTTTCCACCTGTTTGCAGTCTTCCTCTTTCTATCAAAAGAAGAGGACAGTTTCTGAGCTTTGCCCTTGGGACAAGAAAGGGCTGCCTACAGCTCCGGCCGCCATCCCTGCCTGTCAGTGATTCTCCTGACTGGGGTAAAGCCTCTGTGGAGGTTGGCATGGAACAGCCCTACTCCTCTGCCATGGGTGCTTCTCATCACCACTTATTGAATTTGGCATTGCCAATTCTTTGGGTAACGCCTGTGCACCTTTACAATTAAGCCCTCCCGTATCACTAGGAGGCAATGGGGTGGACGCGTCACAAGCGCATTGCTGCTTGACATGCCTTGAACCAGCATCCAAACAACTGACGGGTCGAGGATCTGCGGTTAGATGGTGTACGGCTTTCAGTCAGAAAATTGATGTTATTCTTGATCACCTGCCCAAGCTCCGGAAGGCAGCATGGTCATTTGCAGTGTAACAACCGCAAGTACCTGATGATGCTCCTACCAGTCTAGGGCATACCGGGAACGTCAGAGACCTCAACCCCAAAGTTACCAGCTGCCACCCCTAGACACGTGGGCAGGCAGCGCCCTGACCAACAGATCTGCAGGCAGGACCGCAAAACTCTTTACTGCACCTGATATCTCTGTTGTTGACTAGTCAGGCCGTCTGGCTCCTCGTCTTTCCGATTGGTGATCCTTCATATTTAATACTTGGGTACTCTCTATCATAGCTACCAGCTATGCTACTGAATTCAATATACCCCATTGTCATAGGCCACTTTATGGCCACCTCCCCCCAAAAAAAGGATGGAGGCCTCTGGTCCATCCTTGATTTTGAAGGCCTGAATTCTTTTATTACTCTGCGTAGATTCCGTATGGCTTTCTTGTACTCTGATATTCACATGTTATGTTGAGATAGTTGGTTGGATGCTTGTTTTTATGATGGCATCCGGTCAGGCCGTCAGAAAATTGATGTTATTCTTGATCACCAGCCCAAGACTTTCAGCAGAGGGAATCACTCTTTACCCGTAGCTGGTTAACTGGCTCCTGGCCGCTGAGTCCAAGTCACAAGCTGATAAACACACGTCCTTGACACTGTCCCTTTGTCAGGGTTAGGACTGAAGGTCAACATAGAGAAGTCGACTTTGCAACCTACACAGTGTGTAGATTGTATTAATGAGACTTGGGATGCTTTCTTGAAGCAGGGCTTTTCTTCCCTGACGACAAGTCTGTGAGATTGCTTGATTTCTTATGCTCCTTTTTTCTTCAGGCGCATGCTTCCCTGTCCTATAGGTCCAGTGACTCCTGGGGCTGATGGCATCTACCACAGCCGTGGGACAGCATGCTCAAGTGAGGATGCAGTCCCTTCAAGCCTAGTTTCTCTCACTTTTTCTGATATCTTGAGACCACCCACCCATGTTGCTCCAGCTGACTCTGGAACTCGCTGCATAACTGGACTGGTGGGGACCCCCCCCCAACCTATGCATAGGGAGACCCTTTGGTCTCTTGACCTGGTTGGTTCAGTCAATGATGGATGCCAGCCCACCGGGCAGGTGGGTTTGTCTGCACCACCACGTTGCCCTTGGCCGCTGGTAGCCAGCCTTGATATCATTGTGCTGGAGCTCCTGGCAAACACCAAGGCCTTTTGGGCCTCTGAGCCCCTACTCTGGGGTCGGGTGGTCCAGGTCGCATCAGACAATACCATGGCAGTTTATTATATATACAAGCAGGGTGGCGCTCATTTGTTACGCCTTCTTGTTCTCACCATCAACCTTTCAGAAAGGTGTTATGCTTGCCATTTGTCCAGTGGCTATACATTTGGCAGGCAGAAACGATTCTGTGGCGGTCCATCTCAGCAGACTATGGTTCTGTTCTCATAAGCAGGCTCTCGACCATGCCACTTTTTTGCCTCTGTCATCAATGGGGGACTCCAGACATAGACGCTTTGCATCCTGATTAAACAAGAAGTTTGCTATGTTCGGCTCCCGAGCCGGCATCGGCCACAGCTCCCTAGGGGACGCTTTCCTGACGAATTGGTCACGGGGCTTTCTTTACAGGTTTCCACCTTCCCCCCTTCTTCAAAGGACTGTTGTTTGTGTCCACCATGAGTGTGCAAACGTCATGCCTGGTCGTCTCGCTAGCCATGGTTTTTGATCCTGCTCCCCTGAGCTGTGGAATACATCAGGCTGCACCTGGTCCCTCATCTGCTTTCTTGAGACGAGGATCAGATATTTCATCTGGACCTCGAGTCCCCCTACCTGTCCGCATGGAGTCTTCCCCAATTGTAACAGACATGCTCAGTCATGCTTGCAAACCTTCTACCACCTTGACCTACTCCTATAATGGGTAGGTGTTCTGTCACTTTGCATCAAGACGACATTTGCCTACTAGGCCAGGGTCTTTGGATGCATTCCTTCAGTTTCTCCTTCACCTGTTTTTCCTGGGACTGGCCTGTTCTACCTGCAAGCTGTTTCTCCGAGGCCTGGAGAATAGGCACCCTGCCTATAGACCACTAACCTCTCAGTGGTCTCTCCAATCAAATATTTGACGGCTTATGAGGCCTCCCTTCAAGCCCTTGGCATCAGCATTGCTCCATTTGCTGCCTTTCTCTTGGCAATAACCTTAGCTTGCAGGACTCGAGGACTGGCTACACTAAGAGCGGGCCCTCCTTTCTGTAAAGTAATCTTACGGCCAAGCCTTACCTTCTTGCCTAAGGTATTTTCTGCCTTCCATCTGAATCAGCCAGATGTCCTTCCTGTCTTCTTTCCCACGCCATCTTCACTGCTTGAGACAGCTCTGCACACTCTAGATGTGAAGTGTGCTCTGTCTCATTATGTGCATAGCATGACCACTTTTCGTGCCTCATAGCGTCTCTTTGTCACCTTTGTTGGCTCCTCCTTTGGAGAACTGGCTTCCTCTCAGACCATCTCTAGATGGTTAATCAAGACCATCCGTCTTCCTTATGATTTGGTAGAGACTCCTCTTCCAAAGTCAGTGAGAGCTCACTCTAGTAGAGCTGTGGAATCCTCAATAACCTTTCATCGCGGATGTCTGCCACGCTGCCACATGCGCCACTCCACCTATCCTCATCTTGCTGTACTGCCTGGATGTCCAGCTGAGGCTGTGGTAGGTCAAGCTGTCCTGACTTCTGCACTTTTGTGACATCCCTCCTCCTTGTTAGTCAGCTTGCCAGTCACCCATTAGTGTGTATTCACAGTGGCCACAAACGAGAAAAAGAAGTTAGTTACCTGTAATTCCGGTTCTTTGAGTGGACTTCTGTGAATTCACATGTCCCACCCTCCCCACTGTCTGTCACCTGTGCCGTAGCATGCTGGGTAGTGGCGGTCAGTTCCTTAGAACTGAGGCACTAGTGCGGGAGGCGGAGTTATATAGCTGGTGTAGGGGAGGTCCCAGCACTAAGTGCTTAAAGCTGTGAAAGTTTCCGAAACTGCTCTGCTCTAGCGCAGATTAACCAATTAGTGTGAATTCACAGAGGACCACTCGAAGAACCAAAGTTACAGGTAAGTAACTTCTTTCTGTGTGCTGCCATGGGGCTACATGTGCCCTAGAGAACCCTTGGTTTGCAGTAGTGATTTTCTGTTCGTTTTTTAAAAAAACTTGCTTAAACCCTTAATTTAATCAAAAGCCTTAGTAAAATCTTATAATAATCTCAAAATCAATATGTTAATGTACACATAATGTACACAGAAGCCACTGGCAATGGTGCGGCTAAAAAATATTGTAAATAAATAAATAAATTAATTAATGAATTACGGTAAATTAATTGCTATAACCTATAAAAATAGCTTTAACCTGTTCCAATTGTTTAAAAAACAAATTAACTATTTAGGCCACACTCCTGTTGTGACTATGACTTCTAAAAAGTCTATCTTTTGGATGGGTTGCTGCATAGGTAAATTTGTGATCACTGACCTTATGACCATAGAAATAATTTGAATGTTCGTATCCTTGAAGAAAACAGGGAGTTTACTAAAACTGCCTCTGCTTTTTCCTAGTGATTCTCGTCACTTACTTTACATGCTGGAGAACACATGGACTGATGCTAAGAACATTTTACAAATAATGTGTGAGCTGAATGTTCTTCCACTAGCTCTACAGATTACAAATATTGCTGGCAATGTTATGGTAAATTTTAATTTCCTTTCTCAGCAATTTCCACATCAGTTCTAACATTGGGTTTCTGTTTTGTTTACAAAAATCTGGTTTACTTTTTAACTGTTCAGTTGTGGCAATGTGTTCCTTTGGCAGTGAGTGGCTTTTTAAAAGAGAGAGATTTATTAAGTCAGACTAGCTTAGTATGTTGTAGCTTGGCAAATTGAGTAAAGATAAAGGGAACTATTAAGCCTAATAATGCATTGGAGGTTGAAAATAAAGCACTGTTATTGTTGGCATTTTGACCCACTTCATAGTGTGTGTATGTGGCCCTTCTTTTTCCTGCAGTCAAGGACACTGATGGGTGGACGAGCTGAACGTAATGAATACTTGCTTCTTCATGCATTTTATGAAAAAGATTTTATTGTGCCCGATAAGCAGATGTTTAAAAAGGCTCAGCACAAGCAGGTGAGTTTTCTGAGTTTCCTCGTCACTTGTATGTTATGTTTTCTGTCTGTTTTCCTTGGGCTTGCAAGCTCCCCTGCTCCAGAGCCACGTGGAGCCCCAGCAGATCTACTTATTGGATCTAGAATAGGTCAGCATGTAGCAGAGGAACTTGCAGCACAAGTAGGCGATCAGTGAATAGTGATTTCCTTTCCATGAACAGAAATAACTGATAATTTGCTGTCAGCAGAATAGATAGCCATGCTCCACTGAATTTCTCCTGAGTCCTGAAACTACTCATGGGCTCCCCTTCTAACTCTAGAAGAAGGGATTTGAGGACAAGGAAAGGAAGGGAGAAGGAAAATTCCAATTTCATAACCAACTCTTCTCATTTAAAAATGGACTAAATGCAGCAGGACCTGCTTCTGAGTGAACATGTATAGCCTAATCCTTCAAGTCCTAGAAGACATGGTGAATTATTAACTTTTAAATTGTGCTGAGTTATGTGCCAGATCTAAACTCGCATCTGTGTTTACATTTATCTTTTATTCTCCACCTCTCCAATCCCATCTTAGACAGGGCTGTTATCTGGCAATTTCAGATAAGAGCCTGTTTTCTTCTTATAATCACAATAACCAATCTTCAATTTCTCCTTAACATTATACAAATAAAACATTATAGTTAGAGCTTCAGTTTTGTTCTGTTTTTTTGTACAGCTAGAAGAAGATGAAGATTTTGAAGGTGATCAGATAAAATCCAAAATAGGGAGGAAAAAGGCAGCTTATTCTGGAGGTTTAGTTTTGGAGCCGAAAGTTGGTAAGATCTGGCAGTTTTCTTTGCTTGGGACAGAACATCGAATGATGAATCAGAAAGCTGATCTAGATACGTGAAATTATCTTAAAATGGTTTTTATATCCATATACTGGTTTTTCATCCAGTAGTTACAGTCTTACAGAGGTAGTGAAGCAATGCTGCACATTGTTAAAATGTACATGTGTTTCCATTTTGGGAATACAAGAACAAACATTAACTTTAATTGAGAGTATAGCATATCTTAGGTTGAATGTGGAGGAGGAAAATTCATACTGATGGTTTTTAGACCTATTTGAGCTGTTATATGGCAGTAAATTGCATCCTGCTTACATATGGAGTAAGAAATTCTGTGTGTAAATTTGTACTTAAATATGTACAGTATATGCAAAATGAAGACAAATAATTGGCACCTTCACTTAAGCCACCTTCTTAATATAAATGTATAGACAGTTGTACTGTAATAGAGAACATGGAAAGGATAACCATTTATGTGAAGTGGTTATATTCTCTTTATTTTGAATATCTTCCTTTCTTCATTTCAAATCAGTGACTTTCTGTCTGTTATGAATAGCTGCTAGGACTGCAGTAAATGTATGCCTGCATTGAACTTTAGTTATACAAGATCTTAGTTTTGGGGAACTGAAAGGAGTGCTGACCTTGTTCATCATACTTCGTTCATTAGGAACGTCTGCTTTGCATTTCATTTTCATAAATCAGAGTTAGGCAACTTCCAAAGGATTCCTGGCTGCATACAGTTCCTGTTTTGAAGAAAACACTCTTTACCGCCATGCCAAATTGATTGTGAGGGGAGGAAAAGGGCCCCAAATGACTTATTGGCTGTACAAGGGGCATGGCTGGACATTTGGGACCAATTTTATTTTTTGAAATTTTGGGATCTGTTTCTGTATGGTTATCCATGGTCTGCATGTTACTCAGCCTTGATTTAAAACTAATTTGTTGGTCTGTTAAATATGTATTCTGCTTTTCCTCTGGGGAGCTTGTGGTGCTATATATATGGCTCTTCTCCTCCCCACTTCCTCCTTTTCTCAACAGCCCTGTAAGATGGGCGAGGTTGAGAAACAGTGACTGGCCTAAGGTCACCCAGTGATACTTGAACCTACATTTCCGAATTCATACTCAAATACTATCCACTACACTTCTGAGGTGGCTCTTCTCACTCACTCACTCACCATAGAAGAGGAAAACAAACGTGTATGTTTGAAAACCATAATTCTCTGTGTAAATTTGTACGTAATGCTTCTAAGTATATTGACTAAAATCTTGTTGCTTAGAGAATGTTGCACTTGAGTAGGCCCATTGAATCTGTGGATTTGGTGAGTCAACTCCTCAATAAATTCCATTGTTTAATCACTCACTTCTCTTTTTCCCCTCAAATGGTGAATCTGATGGAGATAGAACCATTTATGTGAAGGTCTTCACAATAAAGAAAATAGAGCAACATAAGTGGTTATCCAAGGAAAATGAAGGACAAACTTTGTAACTTCCATTGATTCAAATGGGCCTGCTCTAATTGAGGGTGGGTCAGTGGGCTTACTCTGATGTGACAACACTAGGCAGCAGGATTTCAGCCTTTGTGCACAGGTGGGGTGAACATGGGAAGAGCACCACAAATTAGATCAGTTTCCTCTCTCACAGACATAGATTTTAGAGAGATGCATTATAAACGTGAATTATACTTCAGTGGCAGCTGCTATTCTGAACAGACTGAACATAGCTTCTTTAACGTGGTTCTACCAATGTATAAGTGGATACATAGATACTAGAAGACTAAAATATTAGTCTATGCAGTGCTTCAGTGTTGAGTACAAGTATAAAATTCCTCTTGTATGTAGGGGATGCTTGAAGTTTCTTTCATTGTCCCTTTTTTGTGGGACGATGATACTAAAGTATCCCAGAGTAACAAAGAAGCTGTCTGTTCATCCCTGGGTAGTTAACAGGGTTGGATCGTTCCACTTCTGACACCTATGCATCGTTGACTAGTAGTGTAGTATAACATTCTGATATTTTCCCAGATGATTATACAGTACTGACTAGATCATTCTGACAAACTTTGAATTCATAATTATCCAAAGTATATTTTGTTTCAGAGTATTTCTGAAACAGTGGCCAAAATAGAGTTGCTTAGTGCAGCAAATTACATTAAAGCAGGATGGATTTGATTAAATTTTTTTAAAAATCAGAATTTTTAATGATTTAAATAAAAATATCAATTGATTTTTTATCCACCCTGCACTGAAGTAGGCCCAATGAATCAATGTAAGTTCAAACAGACCTGCTCTACTTCTGACTTACTGTGCTAAAGTTGCAGTTAGAGTGGGCTCATTTGAATCAAAGTACCTTATGAAATAGTTGATTCACCAAATCCCCATTGATACAGTAGGCCTACTCTAGTGTGATTTACTACACTAAGCAACAAGATTTTGGCCAATGCCAGATACAATCTAATATGACAATCCAGCACCGACTGTCTCTCTTCTGAAGTAATGTTTCCTTGCCTCAGACTCTTCCCTCTCATGTTCATTCTGCTGTTCTTTCCCACTGTGCTAGTGTATCATTTGCCTTGCTCTTCAATGTGTATATGCTATGTAGCTTAAACTGAGTCTTTCTTTTGTTTTAGGTTTTTATGACAAGTTTATTTTGCTTCTAGACTTCAATAGCTTGTACCCTTCAATTATTCAGGAGTTCAATATCTGTTTTACTACGGTGCATAGAGTGTCTTCTAAGGGCCACAGAAAGACAGAGGTGTGTGTTAATCTTGTTAATCTGTGTTAAAGGTAGTTTGTAAAGAAAAATCTGATTTTCACATTTCAGGTAAACATTGGCATCCTAAGTACTTCTGCTGTCTTCGGTAATTTCAGTGTGTTTATTTGATCATCAGATAAATAGTGTAGTTTCCCAACAGTTATGAATTATGTGTCATTTCATGTCCATCAAGACATGACTTGTGTTAAATCAGGAGCATTATATTTTGGTGATGTGAACAAACCAAATTTATTTTCAAAGTTACTCCTCCTCTACTTTTGAAGCTTATTTGCTTTCTGTTCTCTTGTTTCCTGTGTATGTGCAGGATTGAATCTATCTTACCTCTTGAGTACTTCAGTCTTTCCTAACTGCAGTGCTCCTTAAACATCATTCACATGCTTAATTAAAACCTCTTCAAATATGAAAGCTCTACCAATACTGTACTAACAGAAAAAAGGATTGCCAGGAAGTGGCATAACTTACTGTGGAGGTAATTAGCAGCCCTATAAAAACTAGAGATGGTAGCAAATAATCATTTCCCATTTTTGTCATCAGATTATTGTTTAGCAGAACCGTTTTGAACAGCTAACAGTTTATACATTTGTGTTACTTTTCTGTCTTCATTTAGCTCAAGCAATTTATGTTTTGGTTCTTGATGCTATTTTCTAGTACACACGAAATGAGAGAGTTTGGCAGTTTCTGGCTAAGAAATGCCTCCTTGACTGGGCATGGGATGCCATCACTGCCAAAAGAGGGTGGCGATTAGGTTCTTAATTGTTACTATATAGGAACTGCCAAGGTACTTAATAGACTAATATTGAATGTCATTTCTTGGACATGATTGGTGTACACATGGCTGAAGAGCCATTTCAAGCATCCTGTTGCAGTAATTGTTGTGAGAAATGAACATCTGGGGGAATTCCTCCAGAAATTAAAGGTCATCCTTATGCGTCTCTCCTTTCAAAGGCCATGATATCTTGATTTTAGTCTTAATGGAACATCTTCCTTGTGGCGGTTGTGTTCGAGCAAGTTTGTGAATGATGCTATTTTGGTCGTCTTGAAACTATCGTTGTAATTAATCATTTCACAGGATGGTGAACAAGAAGAAATTCCCGAATTGCCGGATTCATCCTTAGATATGGGAATATTGCCTAAAGAGATCAGGAAGCTGGTTGAGCGAAGGCGTCAAGTCAAACAGTTGATGAAACAGCAGGACTTAAATCCTGATCTTTACTTACAGGTATATCAAACAGAAAAGCACCTATTTGTTGGATACATTTATTGAGTGCCTTATTCTGAAAGCAAAACTGGCAGCTACAGAACTTGATAGGCCTTTTCAGATAAAAGCTTTTGGGCTTAACAATGGACCATAATAAGATACATATACATAAAAACAAGAATAACAAAAAGTTCAGTTGCTTTTAAAAATCAAACATATAATGTGCAGCTAGGTAAACTGAATGGCCATAAATTCTCCACCCCTGTGCTAGGGCAAGTTAGGTTTTCTGTTGATGAGACCACTCCTAGTTATAAGCAAACTCTAGGTTTTCTATTAGTTTGGCCATACTCAAAACAGGAGGTGACCACAGAGTGAGAAAAATAGCTGTTGCTCCTTTTAAAAATGGAACATCAAAATAAGCAATTGGGCATGTCTTTCAGTTTTCTTACCATAAATACAGTGTTCTAATAATAAGGATATTCTTTAGGCATTCATTTAGAAAACCAGTGGGCATTTGCTGAAACAGAAATAGAAGCTCTTCAGAACACTGTAAGATAATTTTAATAGTATAAATAATTTTAATAGTAAAGCTGTGATGTTACCATATGGTCCAACGATGTCTGGAGGGCAACGTTTTCTGCATTCAGGGGTATAAATAGAATTTGAATTCTGTTTTTGTAGTAGTTGGTGTGAAAGAATAGATATGAGTTTATGTGAATCCAAACGACTATCAAGGTTATCTTCCTCTTAAGGAAAGCCATTTATAGCAGATTTAACTGATGCAATGTTTTCATAACATCTCTTCATGATTTCAGCTCAGTCATTTAAAATATATTAAATGTATGAAACTTTCAGAACCACCTCAGTTTCATCTTTTATGGCAGTGCTTCCCAACCCTGAGCCCTCAAATGTTCTTGGACTCTAACTTCGAGAAAACCTGGCCAGCACAACTAGTGGTGAAGGCATCTGGGAATTTTAGTCTTACAGCATCTGGGGACCCAGGATTGGGGACGATTGATTTACGGGGCATAAAAGGTGGGATTCTCAATATTTTTTTTAACTATTCATTTTTGGAGTACTCTTGGATCCTCACAGAAAGGTCCCAATGCCATTAGCAAATGTCTTCTACATGGGAAATGGTAACATTAATATTAAAAGAAAGGTACTTTTATCAACAGCAATAGGAAACATTTTTGCTCCTAATATGATATTAATGTTGACTTTAAAAGATATTAATGTTGCCTTTTTTTGTTAAAATTTGACATACAGTGGTGCCTCGCACAACGAGCGCCCCGTAGAGCAATGAATTCGCTCTACGAGGACGCTCTTGCGATCGCTAATGCGATCGCACAGCGATGGCCCCAATAGGCGAAAATCACAGAACGAAGGGCGGTAAGCTGCTCGCTTACCGACCTTCGCTTTGCGACCCGCCGATCAGCTGTTCCGCGGCTTCAAAATGGCCACCGGAACAGCCGAAAGGGCCGGGTGCAGCTTTTTCACGCCCTTGGTAAGCAAGGGGAGGGCGCGAAAACGCTGCTGGAATAGCCGAAATGGCTGCGCGCAGCGTTTTCGCGCTCTCCCCTCGCTTACTAAGGGTGTGAAAACGCTGCGCCCGGCCCTTTCGGCTGTTCCTGCGGCCATTTTGAATCCGCAGAACAGCTGATCGCAGCCATTTTCGTGCCCTCGTTCAGCGAGGGGAGGGCGCGAAAATGGCTGCCGGACCCCAGAAGCATCGCTGAACGGTGAGTTTTCAGCCGATTTGGAACGCATTAAACAATGGTTAATGCGTTCCAATGGGCTTTTCTGCCCCGCTCAGCGATGTTTCACACAGCGAGGGTTAATCCAGGACGGATTAACCTCGCTGTGCGAGGCACCACTGTACTTCTGTCTTTAAGTAAAATTGCTATGTGTAAGCAATCTGCGAGGTCGCTTGCAGGTTGTTCTCTGTGTGACTAATAAAACCCAGGAACTACAATACTTTCCCTAGCGAAACAGGTGTCAGCAAATAGTAGCAAGGAAAACATTTTCTTAGTGGTGATTACTGGGAATGGCAAAGGGAGATTTCACTTTCCCACTGCTCAGCAAACTCCAGGTAGCCATGTTTGCTATTTTCCTACTTTTAATAGTGCTGGAGAAACCAGCATTGATGGGAGTCTCTAGGTAAGCTAGAGATCATTGGATTCTGCAGGGATCCCATCCTTTTATCTTAGTATTGCTGGCTAATATAAACACACTGGTAGACCATCTAGGATGAGCAGGAAAGTTGAGTTTTAAGTTACAAAGGACAGTAGTTTTGGTAATTTTGGGTGCCTGGTTGTAATAGTTCTTTGTATTTCTTTTTAGTATGATATCAGGCAGAAGGCTTTGAAACTTACAGCAAACAGCATGTACGGTTGCCTGGGGTTTTCGTACAGCAGATTTTATGCAAAACCTCTTGCTGCTTTGGTGACTTTCAAAGGTAGAGAGGTAAGTCAGTAGTGATTGATACTGTCTTTTCTCTCTCTCTCTCTCTCTCTCTCTCTCTCTCTCTCTCTGTGTGTGTGTGCATGCATGCACGCATGCACACATGAATGAGTAAGCAAGTTTGTGCACATGGAGGAGAGGGGCATTAAACTGCGTAACAACCTGTCAGTGGACAATGTTTGTTTCCAGTGTTTCAGTTACATAATGTTTTATATTTAAGTGTTTATCATTTTAAAAATGCCCTAGGTGATTGAAAAGTATGTTCCTTGTTGAAAGAGTATTTCAGTTCAAAGAAATAAGCTGCTTAGTTATGAAGGCCAGCAATAAAATTTGTTAAGTAAGGTTCAGTAATAAGATAGTAATAATGTAATGTGAGGTTCTTCAGTGAAACTCATGTCAACAAATTGGGAGATAGTTCTTAGACGTTTTCCAAGGCATCTTGATCGGCCACTAGGGAAAGAAGATGCTGGATTAGATAGAAGCAGCAGGGCTGTTCTTTTGGTCTGATCCAGCAGGAATTCCTTTGTCTTCCATATGAAAGACAAAATGTACAGTAGACCAGGCATAAGAAGAAGATAAATTGTGTTCTCCTGCCTTTATTTTAGCTAACATGGGCAATTTCTTTTGGATCGCTATTGACTGTCTTGATTCTAGCAAAACCAAAAATGTTGTTTACGTGAACCTTGGCCTGGTGCATCCAAATTCACATAAAGCCTGTTCAGGCAGTACACTTCTATGTGTGAATGTAGAGTACTAAATGGGTAATGGGGACATGGGGACACATATAACCACCCACTCCCACGTCCTACCCTACCTGGAGGTACTGACAGACTAGAGAGGTAAAACAGTATCTTCTGTATTTAGTGTGAAGGTGTGTGGAGAGTGCATTTGCGTTTGTAAGTCCGTTTGGTTAGATACACTTCACTGACCCCTGATCAAGAGTCCTGCATGTGCGAAGGTCTGCCTTACTTCCAGAATGGATGGGGGGGAAGTGTGAAGAAGATAAATTGTGTTCTCCTGCCTTTATTTTAGCTAACATGGGCAATTTCTTTTGGATCGCTATTGACTGTCTTGATTCTAGCAAAACCAAAAATGTTGTTTACGTGAACCTTGGCCTGGTGCATCCAAATTCACATAAAGCCTGTTCAGGCAGTACACTTCTATGTGTGAATGTAGAGTACTAAATGGGTAATGGGGACATGGGGACACATATAACCACCCACTCCCACGTCCTACCCTACCTGGAGGTACTGACAGACTAGAGAGGTAAAACAGTATCTTCTGTATTTAGTGTGAAGGTGTGTGGAGAGTGCATTTGCGTTTGTAAGTCCGTTTGGTTAGATACACTTCACTGACCCCTGATCAAGAGTCCTGCATGTGCGAAGTTCTGCCTTACTTCCAGAATGGATGGGGGGGGGGGAAGTGTATATGTGTGCTCTGACTCCCCCCAATTTGAATCCTTAGTGTTTCAAGGTACAATGCTTGAATAAAGGTTAGGGCTGTATGTGTAATCTTACTTGATGCTAGCTGCATTTTAAGAGAGCCTGAATATTTTTTTAGCCATATTTAGGCATTACAGCCTGCAACTGGGTTGTGATGTTGCCATAGTGAGGATGAGAGTAGATATATAAGTGCCGCTCCCAACATCTTTTCCACCTGAATGACAGATAGAGCTTAGCTTGTTCATCTTGGGAGTATAAAGAGGTGCTTGCAAGCACATTCCACTGAACACACTTGTTGGCAGTGTTATTGTGACAGGAAGTCATGATAAGGAAGGACTTCTTATCACAGAAGCCTTGTAAGCATGTTCAATCAAATGAGCTTCTAAGCACTTTTTCAGACCTTTCCACTGAATGTGTGAAAGTCTGACATTCTGATGGGGAGAATGTTTTAAGACATATGTATATCCCCTTCCCATCACAGTTAGAGCATTATCTGTCTTTATATACAATGCCTGAATAGGACCACTATTGCTCTAACGATTTGGATTTCTTTTTGCAAAAGACCCAGCAAGATTGGACTACCTCCTTAGCTGTAGATAGTGGTGAAATATGCTGTAAAATCATTTAGTGAAGGAGAGCAAGTGCTAAATATATCAGCTGTCAAGTACTGAAATCATCATGAAATCAGTAGAACACATTGTGTTTGGCAGTTTGGCATAATTGTTGTGCTCCCCAACTGCTAATGGAGGCACACCTTTGGAGCATGTGAATAATTTCACTTAAATGGGAAGATGCTCTGTGTACGCTTGCATATTAGAAGCAACTTCTGTGTTGTCTTGCCCATCATTGTGTTAATTTTTGTCACTAAAGCCAGACTGTTTCATTGCTGCATAAGAAATGCAAATTACTACTGCTACGTTGAAAGCATGTTTCCAAACTCTAAGCCTAGTTACATTGGTACCTGGACTTGAGAACGTCCCTACATAAGAACGATTCGAGGTAAGAACGGCTCCGTTTGCAGAAAGTTGCTTCGACTTGAGAACAGAGCCTCGACTTAAGAACCAAAAAAAGAAAAAACCTTTCCTGCCCTTTTTTTGACCTAGGTTCACCTTTAGGTCAAAAGAAGAAAAAATTTAAAAAATCTCCCCCTAGTGGTAGATACAGATTAACCGGCTTTGCATTAGTTCCGATGGGAACTAATGCTTCGATTTAAGAACAGCGCCTCGATTTAAGAATGAAAAACAACAGATACGGATTAAATAGTTTTCAATGAATTCCTATGGGAAATAGTGCTTCGACTTAAGAACGTTTCAACTTACGAACACAGTCCTAATACGGATTAAGTTCTTAAGTTGAGGTACCACTGTATTCTCTGTTCTCCAGTAACTTTTCCTGTGCCGGAATATTATGTCTTCATTCATCTTAACCATGATTAACATTAACAAGGATTCCTCTTAGACAGGGTATGTAGGGTTTTTTTTGCCAATTATAAATCTTGGCTATAGTGGAAATTCTGGGGGACAGAATTACCTGCCCCTGACATATCTAAGGCCTGAGCAGAGCGTCATGACAATCAATGTGGGCAAAATGTAGCTCCCCAGGTGCTGCTGCATAGTATCTCCTGTCAGTATTGGACAGCAAAGGCAATGTTGTAAAACTCTGGGACTCCAGCAAAATGTGGAAATCCTGAGTAGTCATTAGCAGCATTTTACCTGTTGCTGATATAATAGGCAGCTTTTTCTACGAATTTATATTTTGGAGTTACAGGAGGTTTTTCATTAATTTTTTTGTAGCACACCTGCAGTTCTCCCATGACATGCAAATTTTAGTAAAACTATGGATTCTTAAAAGTTCCTGAGAGACCTGGATTTGAGCCAAAGGTTAACCAGTAGTTCAGTGACACTGAGTTTAATTCAATCTTAACAAGGTATGAGCAAATTGAATTAAAGTTATAGGAGAAATGAGGGATAATTGATATACTATATGATTTCAGAAGGCAAGGAATTTTATGAAACTTAGTAGGCCCAAATGGAACTTAGTGAAATGGGAGAGCAGTTTGAATCTTTGAACTGCAGAGCTTGAAGGGATCCTCTTCGTCATTCAGTCATTTAGTCGTTTCCGACTCTTCGTGACCCCATGGAACAGAACACGCCAGGCCCTCCTGTCTTCCACTGCCTCCCGTAGTTGTGTCAAATTCATGTTGGTTGCTTCGCAGACACTGTCCAACCATCTCATCCCCTGTCGTCCCCTTCTCTTGCCGTCACACTTTCCTAACATCAAGGTCTTTTCCAGGGAGTCTTCTCTTCTCATGAGATGGCCAAAGTATTGGAGCCTCAGCTTCAGGATCTGTCCTTCCAGTGGTTGATTTTCTTTAGAATTGATCCTATATATCATCAAATCCAGCCCATGTCAAGGAGGATCTGCAGCCAGATGCCTAAACCACTGAGCTATCCAGCAGTTACTTATTGTTCAGCTCCTGCTCAGTATGAGTCCTCTGGACTTACTTTACTTTCATATTTTTGTCAAAACAATTTAGTGCTTTGTTCAGAAATTTGTCTTTAAAAACAATTGCCATACAGAAGTGGTGGCTTACGGATCAAACCAGGGACACTTACCCTGAAATGATTAAAGGAGGAACCACCCTCCGCTGTTTGGATGCTTGTATCTTAGAGAAATTAGGCCATGCAGAAGTTAATCAAAATGTTTGTTTGCATTCTGTCTCTGTGGTTCATGTTCTCCCTCTTTGGTTTTTCTGTTTTCTACAATTCTGATTTGAAAGTGAGTAATTTGATGTACATTTAATTTTTTGTTCAATCTGTCATAGTCATTAAATAACTTGATGGTACAAATGAATAATCAGTAATAAATTGATATAAATTTGCTCTTAGCAGAAAATCTGCTGCTGGATAAGTTATGATATTAATATTATGGGTCGAATGTAGGTTAATTTGTCTAGTAATAGTTGTCTAGTAATAGTAGGATAATTATTCAGATTGTTCACTAGATGGCGATAGTGATCTTGTGTTCATTAGCAAGATTAAGATGCTTTTGGTCACTAAATGTTAGTTCTGATTGGAACCAATTTTGTACCCTTTTGGAGGATTACAAATTCCTTGTATTGTAGTACATTATAAAAATGAACATCATTGAAAATTAGTTTTTTATTTAATTCAGTGAAAGACAACTCTCCTGAATTTAGTTGAGACATAAGATACAGTTTTGGAGGAGGTAGCCATGGTAGTCTGTGCAAGCATTTCAGGCAAAATCCAAAGAAACAAAACAAAACATGTGGCACCTTAATATAATATAACTTGTATCCATCTCTGTGATTTCAGGCATAAAGTAAGGTGTTTTTATTATTATATATGTTACAATTTTACAAAACAACAACAGCAACACCTTGCACATTCAATATCTCATAATAGGAGAGGTTCCTGTGTGGCACCTTCTTGAATAACTGATTTTATTTGTGAATGGAGTTCAATGCATGAAGGAACATTTATTTCTATGAACTCTGATCTACAGCCAGAAGCAATTGCCAAAAGCCAGACATTTTCTACT